CAACAACCAACCACATTCCTGCCCCTTTTTAGTATAAAAGGAGACTGAATTCTGACTTGGGGAAGAGGGTTCACCATGATATCATTCTGCCATCTTCTGGGTCTGCCAGATTTTCAAATAAAGTCACTATTATTTGATCCAACACCTCATCTCCCAATTTATTGGCCTGTCATGCAGCAAACAGAACGAATTTGGACTTGATAAAAAACTGACTGCATTGGAGGTAGTATGTCTCCACTGTTTCCTCATTTCCAATATGTCACAACCTATCAATTTTATATGCTGTTTAACAACAAAACCAAAAAACCTATCATAGAGAATTGATTCCACGGAAATAAAATTATTTCTACTCCTTCAAAACTTTTTTCATTTCTATTTTATTTTGTTTTGCTTATTGAAAAGAAAATAAAAGTCAAATCATTTTATTTCACGTATTTGTGTTATAGCTACATATTTTAAATACTACAAAGATTTAAATTGCAATAAAAAATTATTCACATATTAGTATAATGATATATAAACAATCAATGCGGATTAGGAAAGGAATGGATATTTACTAAAAATCCACTGCACATCTAGTCTTTTACAAGCATATCCTGGAATAAATGCTCTATGATCCAGGAGTCCCCCACCCCCATTCTCACTGCCGAGTCCCTTAGTAATCAACTAGCAATGAACCAGCATAGAACCACGCGATCAGTATTTTAGGTATAAGTGAGGGAATTAGCTCATTCAATTCTAAAACAAAAATCTTAGAATAAATACTGAACTTATTTACAGATAAAGAAAATTGGACACAAAAATGTACAGTTTCTTCCCAAAGTTCACAAAGCTAATAACTGGTAAAGACAAGCTTTTAACTCATCTGCCTGATTCTAAAATCTAAGGTGGAAATCCCCTTCGACTGGGGAGGTTGCAGCAGCACAGCCTATCACCCTAGTTTTGTTCAGATTTAGCCTTAGACAGCCTGAGACAGCACCTCATTACTATGAAACTCGAGGGCAAATGATAACAATAAGGATTTTATATCCAGTAGTTTCTTAGATCTCATTTATATAAAGTGTCAGCAGGTCAGCAGAAAACTCTGGGAAATATGAGTGGGTCCAGAGCTTTTTGCTAACTAGAAACTCAGTCTCTCAGGACATAGTGACCTTCCCATGAGAGGCCTCATGGACATAAACTAAAGGCAGCTGAGCAATGAAAACTAGCAAGACCCTGGAACTCAAGCAAGAAGGATCCCTGCCATCCCCCACCCAGTTGCCTCTTCGCCTGCGTGGACACGATGGCAGGAGACCCAGCTTCTTGTCCAAATTACACCATCATGGATTCTCACCCATAAAAATGTATGACCCTATGCTGTCTTAAGTCCTTTCCAACTCAAATATGATGACACCAATATCTCAGCAGAATGTCTATGTCTCCACTTCCTCTCTTCTAATAGGAGAATATTTCTATGGCCACAAAGCAGAAATCCAATTAAAAACACCATGCACGAAGCCAGTTGAAAGCCTGCGTAAGAGACTTTGCTCTTACACTCAGTGAATGAAAACTCAGAAAAAGTGGTCCTTCTCCCTCAGTAATTGGGAGGTTGCCTGATTTTGTGTGTGTGTGTGCGTGCGCGCGAGCACGTGTGTGTGTGTGTGTAAATCAAATACAATGAATTATGGGATGTGAACAGATTTTTTCTATGTTACTGTCATTTCATGAGGATAAGCCAACCTTTAAAATAATTTGTATCTATTGTTCTGAGAAAGTCTCAGGCTCTTTTGGTGGAAGAGGGGAAAGGGGAAAGGAAAGGAGGAAAGAAGTAAATGAAGCAAAGGAGTTAGAATACTGCTAGGGAAAGGCAAAACTTTAATTTTTTTCCTGCTTGCATCACACACAAATTAGGGACTGGCTTTCCCTCATGTCTTGTCAAGCACCGATTTGCAGAAGAGGAGGCGACAACCCATTTCTCACTGAGCTTGTGACTGTAAGTGGCATCTTATAGGCACAAATCATTTACCCTGATCAAACACTCTAGCAGCAGGCCGTAATTCTCCTGTTTTGAGAGACAAGAAAACAGGAGTTCAAAGAGGGTATATAACTTGACAAAAGTCAGAGGACCAGTAAACAAGAGAGGATGAATTCAAACTCAGATCTGAATGCAGAGTCTGATCTTCCCACTCCCAGGGCTGGAAAATCCTTAACACACAGGCTCCCCAGCTCCCCTGCATTTTCCTGGCACCAAGCATTTCCCATGGCTATGGTCTCCAGTTCTCACAGACACAGCGCTCTGTGCAGCCAATGACCTCCATCGGACCTTGATCAACTATCTGCCTCGCCCAGCAGGCTTCACCATAAAGGCAGGAAAGCTGGCTTTCAAGTGCATATGAAGCCACCCCTGGTCTAACCTGGGCTCTTCTGAGGCCTCTCCAGCCTAAAGGCAGCCATGAAAGTGCTCACAGTTTGTACATGAGCCTCACTACCTCTCTCCATCTGTCTCCCCACCTATACTACTTAGCTCTGACCATTTTGATAATCTTGGAAACAAATTTTAAAAACAGAAAAGAAAGGATTCTGGAACAAGTACTTAATACTTCCAATTTTAAGTGACATGTTACAAAGTGAGTATTTACAAACCGAATCTGCCTTCCTAGGTGTCAGTTTAAACAGTTAAAAAATATAATAGCAAAAAATTCTCACTTACAAAATTAACAAAAACATCAACAATAATCTGGAATAAACTCAAAACTAATGTCCATTTTCTACATGAAGAAACCTACAGGACTGTACTGAGGGGTAAAGTAAGAGGTGTGAATGTAGAGACATCAATATATTGCATGGAGGAAAGCAGTTTTGTAAAGATGTAAGTTCTCCTAAAGATAATTCAAAACTTACTAAAAAATCCCATGAAAACTCTTATCTGTTTTTTTTTTTAACTTGAACAAAGTATTTTAGAATTCTTCAGGAATAATAAAGTCATAATAGTAGCCAAGAAAATTTGGGATGGAAGAACAGAATCAAAACAAATCACACTGTCAGATATTAAATAAATTTTTACAATATGTAAGATATAGCACTGGAGTAAGAAAGATTGACAGAAATAAATCATGACCTCAAAAAGAGACTCTAGTGTACATAAGTATTTTTTACAGGTGGGATTTCAAATCAAAGAGCAAATTATGAATTCATTAATTGTCCTGGGACAATCAGAGAATCACCTGGAAAAAGAAATTCTATTCCAGCCATAATGACCACAAGAAAAATTCCAGATAGTGATGTAAATATTAGAAAGTACTAATAACAGCAAATACCCATATTAATTCAACTTCTCCTCACTATAACAAGTACTATTATCATCTCCATCTTAGAGATTAAAAAAACCTACAGAAGAGATTTATACCATTGTAAGAAAGTATTTCTAAGAATAATACCAAAGATAAAACCC